TTCAGCTGGGAGGGGGGTAAGTTGGGGGGCAATGCTAAAGTGCACTACTGGCCAGAACTGCCAGAACAGAAGCCAGGTTTCTGATAGAATTACAAATACAGAAAGGGGGAAGGCTAGAATAAACCCACTGGTGCTGAGTGGAACTGGAGGAATCAGTATACACCTCCTAATTTTAATATATGTAGATAACAAAATTGATATAGATGTGTATCTACACATGTATGTTAATGTAGCTACACTCCCGGCTCTGTCCACTGAAAGGATCTAGAAGTAATGATTCTAGCAATAAGCACATAAAGCACTCAGATCTTGGTTCCTAAATATTCTCTACTAAAAGGAACCGGGGCTCTTGAAAAAAAAAAGGCTGAGTCCCAGGACTGAAGCAGAAAAAACATAAGATGATCCGGAAAAGATCTCGCTGCACCAGAAAGCAAGAAAGTGCTCCAGGAATGATGGGGCATGTCTCAAAGACATAAGAGCAGCTTGGAGGGGCTTCTGATAGCCAAGTGTAGGATGATGTGACCATCAAAAATATGACAGATTTAACAATTTGTAACCCTCAGAGTAAAAGAGCAATCCAAGAGTCTGTCCTGATTTGACACTTTAAAATGAATAAATGAATACATACATACATAATAAATAAGGGAGAAGGGAGAGTGGCCAATGAATAAATCTAGAATGAAGGATTTTTTTAAAAGATTATCTGGCCATGAGAGACAATGGACTCTGAAAAACAAACAGGGTTCTAGAGGGGAGGGGGGTGTGAGGATGGGTTAGCCTGGTGGTGGGTATTGAGGAGGGCACATTCTGCATGGAGCACTGGGTGTTATGCACAAACAATGAATCATGGAACACTTCATCTAAAACTAATGATGTAATGTATGGGGATTAACATAAGAATAAAAAAAAAGATTATCTGGAACTATCACAATAATAGATACAGATAAAAATAATTAATGGACACTAAATCTATGGGTGAAAATTTGGTGAGAAACATGTTTTCATAGTATCAAAGCATCTCCCCACAAAATATTTTTAAGTAAATACCCTTATTTATTTTACTGTGGAGAAACAGGGCAAACACCATCTTAACCAGGTGAAAAAATGTAACATCACCAGTAAAAGGAACAAAAATCAACATAGTGTGCACCTGATACAATCCTCTGAGAGGAACACGGCAACATCTCTGTGATATTCCTGTCAAAAAGGCTTAAGTCAGAAGGAGACATCACACAAACCCAAACTGAGGGAAAGTCTACAAAGTAATTGGCCTGTATTCGCAAAAAGTCTCAAGGTCATTAAAGACAAGGAAAGACTGCTCTAGACTGAAGGAGACTAAGGCCACGAAAGATAACTAAATGCAACGTGTGATCCTGGTTTGGATCCTGGGCCCATAAAGGACATGATTGGGTCAAACCAAGAAAATGTGACAGAACCAAGAAATCTGATGATAGTGGTCATGGGCAATGTCCTTGTGCTTACAAAACACATACTAAAATTTTATGGAGTGGGCGCCTGGGTGGCTCAGATGGTTAAGCGTCTGCCTTCGGCTCAGGTCATGATCCCAGGGTTCTGGGATCGAGTCCCGCATCGGGCTCCCTGCTCCTTGGGAGCCTGCTTCTCCCTCTGCCTCTCTCTCTGTCTCTCATAAATAAATAAATAAAATCTTAAAAAAAAAAATAAGTAATATAAAATAAAATTTTATGGAGTAATGAGGCAATATTTCTACAATATGCCCAAATGTTTCACATCTGGGTAATAGGAAAGGGTATGAGGAGATCTAAATACTATTTCTGCAATATTTATGCAAATTTGAAGTTATTTTAAAAGAAAAAGTTAAAAATTTTAAAACACAGTAACAATGATGGAATATAACCCATTCTATAAATCTATAGTCTGTATTAAGTGGGGAGGGGCAAACTAATAGACAGACTTAGAAAATCACATCATATTAACAATTGAGTCAAGCAAGAATCATCAATGGATGCTGAAAATACTGGGTAAAAGTTTAACATACAATTTGCAAAGTCTCAAAGTATCTCCCTACAACTTGCTTTTTAACTACAAAGGGAGAATAACTGCAGTAGAGAAACCTGGAAAATACCACCTTAATCAAGTGATTCAAGTTAGCATCAATAATAGGACAAAGGCTATCATCTGTCTCATGACATGATGCCCTGAACAGGACAAATAGCCTATACGGTATCTGTACCAAAAATGCATAAACTAATCTAATGAATCTAATCATGAGGAAATGGCAAACAAACCTAAACTTAGGGACTAGCTTAACCTCTGCAAAAATGTCAATGCATGCTAAAGTGTGGTAATGAAAAATCAAGGTAACTGCAATTTACTCTCAAGGATTTCAGCAAACATAGTAACACATTCAATAAACAAAGAGATTAGTGGATCTGGGTAAAAGGTATTGAGGAATCTCTATTCTTGCAACTCTTCCATAAATTTGAAAATATTTCAAAATAAAATTTTTTAAAATGCTATCAAAAACAAGTGTCTCTGGGTTCTAGGATTTCAACTAATTATTCTCATATTCACAGTTGGAATTTTTTTACAATACAAATACAACATTTTCATAATCCTAAACAGAAGCCAGTTTTACTTTAGAAGGAAAACTGTGATCTCATGCCATACAGTATAGTCTAAAATATGTTTATTTGAATATTAGTTTCATAGCTTATTATACATGTTATTAGGAACACTCTGGTTGTCACGTTTCTTTACAATAGAACTTTTCAGAACTTTAAACATGCTAGTGCATATGCTGTAAGTTTTTTCAAGAGGAGAATATGCCATATCATATTTCCTAGACACTAAGACAGAATATGAGGGGAACCACTGAAAAAATAGGTTAAGGAAAAAAAAATCACCACCACAATAAACATACATGTAGTAAAATGAGTACCAATCTCAGAAACATAAAAATATGAGGAAAATTACATATTAGAATTGATAATATAGAATTATACAGGTCTCTCAATCTTATTTGGCCACCACTTTTTTCATGAGGAATCTAAGACACAGACCTCAAGACCTAAGTTACCAGACAGTACACCCTGGCTAGTTCTACAAAAAAGAACCTTAACCAAAAAAATGGCAAAAGCTGTCCATTTTAATAGCAACAAACTGAATCACTTAATCCCCATCATCCTCCAAGTTAACCTGACAAATATAAACATAAAATTGCCACTTGTCAGATTGGTTCTGAATTTCAACATGTATTGACAGAACAAATTTAGAGTCAGCTTTTCTTTTTTTCTTGCCTTTTTTTTTTTTTTAAGAGAGGAGGAGAGAAAGAGAGAGAGAAAGATGGGTGGGGAGCAGAGGGAGAGGGAGAGAATCTTAAGCAGGCTCCATGCCCAGTGTGGAGCCCAATGCAGGGCTCCATCTCACCATCCTGAGATCATGACCTGAGGTGGAAATCAAGATTCAGATGCTCAACCAATTGAGCGACCCAGGAACCCCGAGTCAGCTTTTCTTTAGTACTATCTCACAAAGTATTTTTAGAATTGGACACCTTTAATTTTTTATATAAACTTAATTCTTAGTCAAGAAGCCATGGATGCTCTTGGTATTTTTAATCTTAATATTAATATTTTTAATCACGTTGTTCATTTCCTTCATCATGTTCACTCTTTAATTTCAGTCCACGGAATCTGGCTAATTTGGCGTCCAGAAAGAACCTTCCTACACTGAAGCTTGCTTCTCCTAGACTGATTATTCAGGCCTGGATCTCCTTGATTGGAAAGTTACAGGGTAGCAAGTTCCGCCCTAACTCAGCATTAAGAAGGGTTTGGTTGCAAAAGAGAGCTTTGCTAAGTCTCTTTTTAGTTAAATAAATAGTGAAATAGGTCTGTCATTTTTTTTTTTCAAGATTTTATTTATTTGACAGAGAGAGAGAAGAGCAGCGGGAGCAGCAGGGGGAGAGGGAGAAGCAGGCTCTCTGCAGAGCAGAGAGCCCGATGCGGGACTCGATCCCAGGATCCCGAGATCATGACCTGAGCCAAAGGCAGATGCTTAACCAACTGAGCCACCCAGACGCCCCTAGGTCTGTCATTTTCACAGGACTACCTGATTGCCAAAAGAGTCCTGCAACCTTTCCCCTAACTCCATACAAGGTATGTCCTATACTTCCACTTAGACATTAAAGAATATTAGGAATCACTTTTAACAATCTAGCCCAATGCCTCCTTGTAAAGAAGATTTAATAGTTTTTTGGCTACTTTATCAAAATTTATTTATCCGCAGTTTTCCTCCAGTTCTGTAATTTTGTAACAACACTTTTGCCCAAGTTTCAAATAGAAAATCACTGCTTGTTATTGCTCCATACCCAATGTGGGGGTTGAACTCACAACCCTGAGATGAAGAGCTGTACACTCTACTGACTGAGCTCACCAGCTAGGCGCTCTGATAATCACGGCTTTAAATTAAAAACAAAACATCTCAACAGAGAAAAAGCCTAAGGGAAAGGTAAGTCATATTATCTAAAGTTAGCACAACAAAATTTGTTTGATCAGACTGCAAATAAATCTTCAAGTGGCCTCCCCTGCACTTCAACTGATTTTTTCTTCTAAGGGAATATCGAAGTACTCAATCAGAATGCTGTATACCTCACATTACTACTCTTCCTTATCAAAATCAACTACTTCTCAACCTGTCCTGAAATTTAAACTGCTGTAGAGAGCTCTCAATTGCAAACTGTCTCTGTGTGCAACATTCCACCCATCTCTGGCATCTAACCCACAGCAACTCAAGGAGTTTGCAATTTTGACATGTTCCAGAAACATGAGTTGAAAATGAGAAATTTAAGATGATGAGAGAAAAATTCTGGGAGTTTTCAAAAATGAAAAGGTTGTATCTTATTCCTGGACTGTAAGTAGGACTACCAATCTTCTTTTACACATTCCTAGAGTTCTTAAATAAACATTTCATGGTATAGAGTTGCATAACCCCATTTCATTACTGTTACTAATAAGGGTACCTACCCTGTATCTCCCAATCCATGAAGGAAAATCACCTATAAGAGAAGAGGGAAAATTAATAAGCAATGCCAAAATAAACCCACACAGAATTGTTATACACTGAAGCTTTGGTTAAGGTGGATGCCAGAATTACAGAATACTGCCCTCAGCAAGTTAATTAATCTCTCCAGACCTCTTAAATGACAAAAATCCTTAACTTCTCTCCTTGAGTTCCTAAGATAATTAATGTGCCGTTTTAGCACTTAAGGAGGTCCCAGTTAGACATTCTTTTTTTTTTTTTTAAGACTTTATTTATTTATTTGAGACAGAGAGAATGAGAGACAGCATGAGAGGGAGGAGGGTCAGAGGGAGAAGCAGACTCCCTGCTGAGCAGGGAGCCCCATGCGGGACTCGATCCCAGGACTCCAGGATCTTGACCTGAGCCGAAGGTAGTCGCCTAACCAACTGAGCCACCCAGGCGCCCACCAGTTAGACATTCTTAAGTGCAAATGATCACCAACCACATTCTAAGAAAAAGTTTGTCTCTTTCGAGTCAAACCATGAAAATTTCTCACAAACGCTGTAAATTTTTCCATCGCAAAAAGGAGCCGGGGGGGGGGGGGGGAGATAAAAATAAGTTTGAGATCCTCATACACAAGTTTCCTTAAAAAAAAAAAAAAAAACACCTCTGATTTTGTGAGACACGCAATCTTCCAACTTCTTTAATTTAGAACAAGAATGCAAGGTAAGAAAATGATTCTCTCATCTACAAACGCGACAGAAACATACTCTAAAGTCACCTCGTGTTAGGGCGCCTCTCCACTAACGCCAACGCCTCCACGCTGGGACGGGGGGGGGTCCGGGGGTCCCGCGGGCCGCACTCGCTCCGCAATGCAGAGGACTCGGGTTCGGGGGCTGCCTGGGGGGCGGGGAGTGGGACGCGGATCCTCCCCCCCGGCCGCAATACGGGCCCGGGCCGAGCCGACCATCCCCACCGCACCCCACTCCCTCCCAAAGGGCAGGGCAGAGGGCCCCCACCCACCGGTCGCCTACCGGCCTGCGATGCCACCCCGCGCCAGAGGCGGTAGCCTGCAGCGGGCCGAGCGGGCCCCTCCGAACCCTGGCCGCCGCCACTCACCGCAGCGGTGGCTTTCCGGACGGCGGGCACGGTGGCGGGAAGCGGGGCAGACATGTTATTGCCGCACATACACCAGCTCCCTGACGGCGCGCGTCGTAAGCAAAACGGACAACGGGCGCCCGGCCGCTGCCCAAGGGCGTGCGAGCGGCAAGTCCCGGCCCGCCCCTCCGGGCGCGCGCTGAGGCGCGTGCGCGCCAAAGAGGCGCCGCGCCGCTCTGCGCCGGCTCCGCGCCCGGGCGCTCAGAGGCCCTGTCAGCCTGCCCCTCCCCTGCCGCTCTTTCCCTCGGCGTGTCACAATGCCCGGCTACGCCCAATTGGCTGCGACCGAGAAGCGAACGGAGCTGACCTTCTCGTGCCTCGTAACCCGTGGCCCGCGCGTGCTCTGTGCGGATGGCCACCCGAGGGAAGGCTCCAGGCACCGCGCTGCCGGCCTCGGGGCCCCCTAGTGAAAAGAATTATCCCCAAAGCCGGTAGTATCCAGCCCCAGATACTCCCATATTTCCTAAGGCCGGAGTGTACTCGTTCGTAAGGTTTTGCCTTATTTCCATTCGGGGCTATGCCGGTGTATAGTTTGGGGGTTGATTCCCCTCCCGCTTTAAACCTCAGCGGGAAAGGAAAAGAGTTGCATCGAGGATCCGCAATTATGATGACGGATATTGACACTGTACTGATTTAAGCACGAGACTGGACGGGCCTCTTTCCTGTCATGGGTTTGAGGGGAGCTCAAAGCATATCAAACGCTTGGTAGGATCTGGGAGGGGATAAGGGACTGAAACACTTAAAGGCAAAATGCCCTGACCTTCGGAAGGTCACAATTCAGTGGAGAAACTTGATGTATACGATATTTAGGGAGTAGTTTAAGATAGGGAAGGAAGTTGGTGAACAAAAGGCTTTAAAAAACCCACTCCACTTTAATTCACATGATCACCAGAATGCTGAAGGATTGGGGATCTTATTCATACTGTTTTTTATGACATCGTGGTTTTGAGTGCTGAGAATTCAGAAATGTTAAGTTGATGCTGGTTTATTGAAAATGGTAATGTGACTCATTTCACGTTGGAGTACACGTGCTTATGTCAGGCTTTTAAGTATTTGGTTGTGATATAAATAGAGAAAAACTATCTGTGATTCTTACTGTGAACGTGACATATTCCCTAGTATGTATCATTTGTTAGGAAAATGTCATCTATTACTGTATAGTAAAGCCCTAGTCGTGAGACCCTTCAGATGTGTATCAGTGGGTCATATGCTTGGGAGATGATTGCTAACATGTATCAAGGGGCGTAGAGATGAAGGAAGTTTCCAAAGGAATTTTTATATGTTAAAGTAGACTTACAGGATCCTGGGGGGTTGGATAATGTTAAGCTAAAATTTTAACATGGAGGCAGCTGAACTCCCAGAGGAAAGTCACTATACCTGTTTCCAGGACTTGTCAATGGGCTGTAGGCAGTAAGGAAATTTAATTGTTTTCTTTGCCTTTGTTTCCAACATCAGTTACACAAAGGGAAAATTTAACAAAAGCTATTTAAAAATTACAAGAAAATTAGGCTATAATATAGCTAATTACTAAATCAATATACAAAAATGAATAGTTTTTCTAGCTACAAATAGCTGGTTAGAATAAGTAATGGAAAAAAATATTTACAGTAGAAGTTTTAAAAAATATATTCAGGCAAAACTTAGCAAGAATATATCAGAACTATATCAGCAAAGCATGAAGCCACCAACATACAAAAAAGTCAAGTAAGTGGATAGGAAGATGCACTATTATAAGTTTATTAATTTGCTCAGAATTACTACCAATACAATGTACTCCCAATTAAAATCCCAATAACTTACACTGTAATAATTATTTTTTAATAACTCAAATTTCCTAATTTTATAAAATTAGTCTAAAATTCATAAACATGGGAGAATAGACATGCAGGAAAATCCAGGAATATTAAAAAAGAAATACAGTAATTGAAGGTACCAGCCCTACCAAATGTATGACATTGAAGGGGATCAGAATATACCACCTCAAATTATGCCATTTGGTTATATGATTATTTTGTGTTAAGGCCACTGAGAATCAATAGAGAAAGAAAGAAGCCCTCTAGGAGTTTCCTTTATCTAAGAACAGAAACTTCTAAGAAATGAGGACAGCTGAGGCACCTGGGTGGCTCAATTGATTCAGTTTGACTCTTGGTTTCAGCACAGGTCAGGATATCAAGGTCATGAGATTAGCCCTGTCTTGGGCTCCATGCTCAGCACACAGTCTGCTGCTTGAGATTCCCTCTCTTCCTCAGCCCCTCCCCCAGCTCACACTGGCATGTGTATGCTCTCTTGCTCTAAATAAATAAAATTTTCTGGGCGCCTGGGTGGCTCAGATGGTTAAGCGTCTGCCTTCGGCTTAGGTCATGATCCCAGCATCCTGGGATCGAGTCCTGCGTTGGGCTTTCTGCTCCTTGGGAGCCTGCTTCTCCCTCTGCCTCTCTCTCTCTCTGTCTCTCATGAATAAATAAATAAAATCTTTAATAAATAAATAAACAAAATTTTCCAAAAAAAAAAAAGGAAGGGAGGAAGGAAGGAAGGGAGGGAGGGAGGGAGGGAGGGGGAGAGAGAGAGAGAGAGAGAAAGAAAAGAAAGAAAGAAGAAAGAAAGAAGGAAGGAAGGAAGGAAGGAAGAAAGAAAAAGAAAGAAAGAAAGAAAGAAAGAAAGAAAGAAAAGAAAGAAAGAAAGAAAGAAAGAAAGAAAGAAAGAAAGAAAGAAAAAGAAAGAAAGAAAGACTGCCATAAATCTCTTCTGGAGAAGTGTTACGGCCACAAAGAAGAAAGTTGGAACCAAAGTGGAATTTCACAAACTTTGCAAAATAAGTTTTACCTTCCATTAGTTCCCCCACAAGTTTACATTTCCCAATTTACTACACCTAGAAGCTCAAAACCCTTTTCCTTTGTCTTGTTATTTCTCCACAAATTTATTTCCCTTTCTTTAGATTGTACATAAGCCTCCCTGTCTGACTGCCTCTTCAGAGTTTTATTTTGTTTTTTCCTTAAGTGATTTCTAAGACCAATGTGGGGCTCGCTCTCAATGACCCCAAGATCAAGAGTTGCATGTTCCATTGACTGAGCCAGCCAGGTGTTCCAACTCTTTAGAGTTTTCTCATAGTTTCTGTGAGCACCCCCCCACACATATACATATGAAATAAGCCTTCTTCTCTTGTTAATCTGTCTTTTGTCAATTCAACTTAAAAGGCTTCAGTTACTGAACCTAAGAGTGTAGAGAAAAAGTTTTCCCCCCCCATCAACATCATCTAGAAGTTATAGTAGTAAATTACCAATATAAGAAGGAACAAATAGATTGGATCATTTACATTCCCTTACTTGCTCGGATTTCTTCCTTTCTTTTTTTTTTTAAGATTTTATTTATTTATTTGACAGAAAGAGCACAAGCAGGGGAAGCGGGAGAGGGAAAAGCAAACTCCCCACTGAGCAGGGAGCCCAACGTGGGGTTCAATCCAAGGACCCTGAGATCATGACTGGAGCCAAAGGCAGATGCTTACCTGCTTAACTGACTGAGCTACCCAGGTGCCCTGCTCAGATTTATTTCTACAACAGAATTAAAATCCAAGAAAAGAAACGAAACACACAGGAGAAATAAGTATATGTTAAGGGTGACATTTCAAATCAGTAGAAAAATGACAGTTTTTCAGCAAATGATATCAGAATAACTGACTACATTTGAGAGAAAATTCAGATGGTCCCCCATTACTCCTCTTATTCCTCCCACCAAATTGTAGGCAATATCCAGAAGAGGAAATCCAAATGACTAACACAGGGAAGTGCCCAACTTTTCTAATCATTAAAGAAATGCAAATTAAAACAATTTACTACTTTAGACCAGTGATGTTAGAAAGAACAGAACATGGTTCAACTTTGTACTCTGCTAATAAAAGTACAAACTTGAATGAAACTGCAGAACAATTTGGAAAGATCTAGTGAAGCTGCAGATGTGTGTAGTGTGAAAATTGGTAACACGAAACCTCACTAAAATGGAATGGGTAGGTTTTGGCAGGGGAAGCTCTGCCTTACCACTCCTAGTCAGTTGCAGACCCAATAGGAAGAGACAGATGTGAACTTACCAGAACTTCATCTTGCAGGTGGATACTCCTATCCCAGCCTATGGAAGAGCCACTTTCTTTACCTTCCCTGCCCCGCCCACACAACAGCTCAGACAACAAGAAGTCCCCGGAAATCAAATTCCCAATTTACTCCAATGGACTTTCAGTTTATAGCAACCTTCCCAACTTACCCCTTTTTTCCTTAAAAAAGGGTACCTCTCCTTTGTTCCCCAGACTTGCCTATGGTTTTGCCATTGCTTATTTGTCCCAGATTATAATTCTCTTTTATTCCTGAATAAATCCATCTTTTGCTGGTAAGATAACCAGTTTTTATTTTTAAGGTTAACAGTAGGTATGACCAAAAACTACTTCAGGGCATACCTTGGAAAACCTCACATATATGTGCAAAGAGAGACATATAGGAATATTAAAAGCATCACTTCATAAAGTGAAAAACCAATAGTTACCTAAACACTCATTGATAGGAAAATAGATGAATATACTATTATATTCATATGATGAAATGTTATACAAAGGTGAAAATGTATGAATGATAGGTAAATACAGCAACATGAGCAGATTTCAAAAACAAGGTTGAATTTTTAAAGAACAAACTACAAACAAAAAATAAAACTTTACACAAAGTTTAAAAAACACATTAAGATACCATGTATTGTTTCGTTCAGCAGTTTTATTGAGATCTAAAGTGACTTACAATGAACTGCACATATATAAAGTGTACAATTTAATGAGTTTAGTTTTATTATATACTCCTGAAACTATCACTACAATCAAAATAATGAACATACCCATTGCACACAGAAGTTCTCTTGGGCTCAGGGCACCTGCGTGGCTCAGTTGGTTAAGTGTCTGCCTTCAGCTCACTTCACGATCTCAGGGTCCTGGGCTCTGCGTCAGACTTCCCTGCTCATGGGTGAGTCTACTTCTCCCTCTCCCTCTGCACCTCCTTCCTTCTCGTGCTCGCTCTCTCTCAAATAAATAAAATCTTTAAAAAAATTATTTAAAAAAAGTTCTCTTGGGCCAGTTTATAATCTATTCTTGTCTCTTCCCTCTGTGGCACATCCTCAGGAAACCTCTGATTATTTTG